CGTTGGTCAAGTGAGCAAGTAGGTAAGCAGCAAACATCACATTAGATGATGGATGATTCAAGCAAGGGGTTAGAATGAGTTATCCACAAATGTCAGAGTTATATAGCATCAAAGGGAAGTTATATAAATATTTCCTCCATTTAAAGAACTGGTGTGTTGATGCTGGCTCGATGCCAGGTACCCACCAAAGCCACTTTTATTGCTCCCCCTCTTCAACTGGATAGAGGAGAGGAAATATAACAAAAGGCCAAGATAAGGGACAAGGAGAAATTGCTCAGCAATCCACTGTCACAGGCAAAACAGACTCAACTTGGGGAAATTATTTAATTTATTGCCATTCAACTCAGAGTAGGATAATGAGAAATAAAACCAAATCTTAAAACATCTTTCCCCCACCCTTCCCTTCTTCCCAGGCTTAACTTTACTTCTGAGTTCTTTAGCTCCTCTCCGCAAGTGGCATAGGGGGATGTGGAATGGGGGTTGCAGTCAGTTCATCACATGTTGTCTCTGCTGCTCCTTCCTCCTCAGGGGGACTCATCACACTCTTCCCCTGCTCCAGCTTAGGGTTTCTCCCACAGGAGCCAGTCCTCCATGAACTTCTCCAACATGAATCCATCCCATGGGCTACAGTTCTTCACACACTGCTCCAGTGTGGGTCCCGCACGGAGTCACAAGTTCTGCTTGCAAACCTGATGCAGCATAGGTCCACAGGTGCTGCCAGGAGCCTGCTCCATTATATGGGCTCACCACAGGGTCACAGCCTCCTTCAGACATCACTGGTTTGCTTCTTCCCTTTTTCTCTAGATTTTGGCTGGCTTTTTTTTGTTGTTGCATTTAAAATAGACAAGAGTCTGCTACAGGATAAGCATATCTATTACATTATCCTGCATTGTATTTTACAGCTTGTCAGTTTCACTACTCATTTCGAGCACTTCAAATTGTCACCAGAGGATGGTTCTGTTTTGAAAAGCAGAAAATTGCCACATAGGGTGAAAAAGGCCTAGCTATTCAAAATTATCAAAATAATTACACAATAAGGATTTTTCTTTACTTTAGACAAAGGTGTAAATATTCACTTTTCTTACAGAAGTTGAGTTGTTCTGACATGCTTAAATAAATGAAACTGTAATTCTATGAAATAAATTTTAAAACTTGTATGTCTATAGAATTTCTTCTAGAATTTAAAAGAATTACATGTGGGCTTTAGAAACATGATCAAGAAGGTTTGCAGCTAGTTAATCAACTAAGGAACAAATCTTCTACAGCGTCTCCTATTTTTCAGTTTTCCTGTTAGATTTGTCCTATAATATGATTTATTCATATGCCCTGAGAATTTTTGTTCAGTTTCATTACTGATCTAAATGTTTGCTATTTTGGTAGATTGCCCTGTATATTTGGCAGAGAGGGGAAGGACCACATCTTACTCCAGTGCCTGAGTTCTGCACAGATGATGTGAACTCATATAAGGTTGAGCATTGTGCAACAACGTTCAGTAATTTTCTGCCACTTTGTGTAAGTACCATATTTTAAATACCACTTGCCTAGTAAAGGTAAAACTCCTACTGAAATGCATAATACTTGACTTTAAAAATCTCAAACCCTTAAGAAAATATTTTTCAGTAAGTTTAAAGTAAAGAGTTTGTTCTGGCATTTATCTAACTTTGGATATGCTTTCAGCCTTCCATGGCACAGAATATTTCCTGGCAAACAAATATTGCATATGCTTTAATGGGTATTTCTACAACAATGTTTGATCAGCCTGTGTTCTATAAAGTATTTCTCCTTACATTTCTGTGAGATACTGAAGTATAAGTAGTCTTTTTTTTCACATATGGAAATTTAAAATTTGTTGAGGCTAAAGATAAAATGTAAGGTAGTATTTGGTGCATTTAAGTACAACCCATCTGCTCCACCTCTAAGAGAATACATTTATGATGTAATGGATTAAGTATTGATAGAGGCCAAAAAGCGTTCTGTGCTTCCAGGAGAGCAAAATTCCAGGTGCCAAAAAGGAAAACAAATAAAAGTTGTTAAATGATTTTATTACAGTTGAGGAAATTCAGATATTTCTAGTGTGTAACATTTAAGCTTCTTTTTCCAAGCATGATACAGTTCAACATGTTCACATAGTGATTAATTTCAAAGAAATTAAGAAAACACTCTTTTTCAGATGGATTATTCTTACTTCAACAAGTTCTACTACTCGTTCTCTTTTCCCTAATGATAGGTGTTTTAGTTCATGTTAGAATACTACACCAATGGAAAAAGTATTTCAATAATGTTATTTCAGGAATTTTAAACCACTAGTGACCTTTTTTCCAGAGACAGAAATGTACTTCCTAATATATCAGTAGTACACTATTCTACGCGATATGCTATACCATGAAAAGGTATTTTCTGTTTTATTATATGTATGGGCACACATATCCTATAAAATGTTACAGGCAGAACCTGCAAATAAAAGATTAATTTTTGTTCTGTTGATATAGGGAGAGCCAGTGAAAAAGGAAGACATTTTTGTTGCTGTAAAAACATGTCGGAAATTTCATGGTGACAGAAGTAAGTTGTTGGTTGGTCAAGGTAGTAGTTCTATGCAATATAGTTTATGAAATTTATGTTTAAAAAACAAGCTGATACATGCTGTCTGTGTAGCTCTTGGGTCTAAATGTTTGCAGAATCCACTGGGAAACATGAAATCTTCAGAATGATAAACAGCTTGTCCTTTTAAGTAAATTTTTTTTTGCTATTCGGAGTTCTCCAGGGGTGCTGTGAAGTGTTTAAAAGTTGTGGTCATTTGATCTTTCATCACTAGTAATTGGTTGGCAAAAATCTTGAAATAAAATATCTAAATTAAAAATACACTTTAAGTTAGCTTATGTTGTTGTACGTTGGAGCTGTTGCAGTATTAATTAACATAGCAGCTATTAATAACCTTCGGTTTGTTTCCCCCAGCTAATTGGTTCACTTCTATTCATTGTACTAACGGTGACAGTTGTGCAGCTATATGGTGGCTGATTGAGAAATTTGAACAAGCTGAAAGGTCTCTGCCCTCCTCCTTCCTTTTGTCCTGTCCTGCCCTCCAGTGAAAGATTGAGCAGCTTATGCTGTCCTATTGCTTCTATCCATTGCCGCCCTACATAGGATGTGCACATAGTGTTTTGTAATGCTCAGAATGGGAAATTTTGTCTCTTGTAGAAATCTGGTCTTTGTCCAAAACCCATGCCCCAGATAAAGAGTCTCCCAAGTGTGCAACACTATAGCATGTTTTATCTGGAAATTGTAGTGTTATACAAGCAATGATAGTTGCCATGGAAATATGACCGTGATATCTGTGGTAAAAACAGCAAGTAAAAAAACCTAGCACATCCCAACAAGATACATCCAGCGAGTATTAACCTCCCGCTCAGAGACATGGAAAATAAAGATACAGAGAGACACTCAGCTTCAGCTAATACACAGTAAGGCTCAGCTAAATTGAGGTAGATCCAGTGTCTACAAAACTTGGAAGGAAACATTCCAAATCCACTGATTTAACAGAAGACATTCTACCTACTTCGTACTCTCCATTCTAGTTTGCTTCTAGATATTTTGTTATTAAAGAGATTGAAGAATGGATTTATTTCCAGGAATTTACTTGAATTTTGTATGCCCTTGAATACTCAAGGTACATAATAATGTCGCCATTAGGCTCAATTGTTTATAAAAATAATTTAAAGTGATAATTACTGGCAAAAAAATTAATATTAAGTAATGGCTAGTAGTTGTACCAAATTTTTGGGGCATTTTGCCATACCTATTTTCAGAGGACAGGATGAAGACAAAAGCTCTTTTCTTAACTAAGTCCCCCTTTGCTAATGCATCCAAAACTGTAGCTTCTGTCACTTCTAAATTTAGACTATTTGGTGATTGCTAGGTTTTTTTCTTCAAAATAAGAATTATGGAATTTTTTTTCTTAATGTCACTGCACTTGATGAAGGCACATTTCTCGTATTTTAATCACCTAATTATTAGGCTATCTTTAAAGTAGCTTTTGACAAAACAAAATTGACTGTCCTGTAATTGGAGTTCACTGAAGAGTTCTCCTTTCTGGATCCATGCTTATTTTCTTACATCAAAATTAAAACAAACAAAAAAACCCACCCTACAAAGTCAGAAAAGAACATAAGTCTTCAAAAAGATACTGTAAGCATCCTTCAAGAAACACCTGTTGAAGACTGAGGAAAATTCTTGAACTTTCCTCACAGCTTCCAGTGTTATGCAATAGAGGATAATCTTACTCAAGATTTTGAAAGATTAATGGATGCCAGCTTCAGAGAGCTCTTTTTACCTGGTAAGTCATTTTTTATTGTATGCCAAAAACATTAGTGCAACATTAAGGCTTGGAATTCAATGTGAAAAAGAAGCTAAATTTTACTTCAGAATTTACTTAAGATACAACTCTCCTTCTTGCACGTACCATATATAGTTATACGAGAAAATTTCAAGACTGCAAACGTGCTAAGGTTCTAGAAGTAGCACAAGTAAAATATAATTAAGAGCTTAGAGCTAACATTGTATCAATATTTTTTAAGGTATTAAAACTTCCATGTGATCACAAGTATTAATACAAATTTATAAATATTTGCATCAATATCTAGTCCAAAATTTCATACTGTTCTCTTTCGTTGGAACATACAAGATGATAGAAATTCTGAAGTATTGGATTCAGTCTACAATTGATGTTAGCCTGGATGGTGACACTTCAGTCAAAACAAGCAAGGAAATGAGAAAGACACTTCAGCTAGTAGCCTCCTTGTTAGACCATTTAACTGAGGTGAGACTCCAGTCCTTGCTTCAGGGAACATTTTTTCATTTATACAAAGAAGGAGCACTCCACTGAAGAAATTGAGAGGCTCAGTCTCTAATAGCAAATAGTTCTGTATGTTAAAGCACCCTATTGAGGCTGAGGTCCTTGGTTGGAGAAAGATAAAACAGACTTTACAGGTCCATCTCTTCTGCCAGGTGAAGGTTGGAAGCATTTTGTATATCTGTGATGCTTCTGTACTGGGGCCTTGTTTTCTGAAAGCATTCTGGTTTTGTTCTGTTGAGAAACATTTTTTCAATAGAACATTTCCACAAAGTAAGAAAATAATTTCCTGACTACTTCTTTGCTTACTCAGTTGAAAAAAAAAAAATGTTTATGTGACTTTCTCTGCCAGTTAATGCCTGATTATGCAATGCTCTATGTTGTAATGTGACTTTTTATTACATGAGAGGTAGAGTTAACACATTGTGGAATTCCTGGCTTTGCATTTCAAAACTCCACCGTAATGTTGTATGAACAAATTTTTGTACATAAATTCCCTTTGGATTTTTTAATGCAGAAATTGAGAGCAGTTTTATGTTTATCTAAAAACCTTTAAAAGCAGTATTGGCAATTGCACAGTGCTACAGAAGTGAAGTTAAATATTTTCCAAATATTAAAGCCTTTCCATTAGTGCACTGAGTTGTTATTACTCTCTTAACAGTTACCTTTCAATTCATTTTAGTGTTATCAAACTGACCGTTGGTCAAGTGAGCAAGTAGGTAAGCAGCAAACATCACATTAGATGATGGATGATTCAAGCAAGGGGTTAGAATGAGTTATCCACAAATGTCAGAGTTATATAGCATCAAAGGGAAGTTATATAAATATTTCCTCCATTTAAAGAACTGGTGTGTTGATGCTGGCTCGATGCCAGGTACCCACCAAAGCCACTTTTATTGCTCCCCCTCTTCAACTGGATAGAGGAGAGGAAATATAACAAAAGGCCAAGATAAGGGACAAGGAGAAATTGCTCAGCAATCCACCGTCACAGGCAAAACAGACTCAACTTGGGGAAATTATTTAATTTATTGCCATTCAACTCAGAGTAGGATAATGAGAAATAAAACCAAATCTTAAAACATCTTTCCCCCACCCTTCCCTTCTTCCCAGGCTTAACTTTACTTCTGAGTTCTTTAGCTCCTCTCCGCAAGTGGCATAGGGGGATGTGGAATGGGGGTTGCAGTCAGTTCATCACATGTTGTCTCTGCTGCTCCTTCCTCCTCAGGGGGACTCATCACACTCTTCCCCTGCTCCAGCTTAGGGTTTCTCCCACAGGAGCCAGTCCTCCATGAACTTCTCCAACATGAATCCATCCCATGGGCTACAGTTCTTCACACACTGCTCCAGTGTGGGTCCCGCACGGAGTCACAAGTTCTGCTTGCAAACCTGATGCAGCATAGGTCCACAGGTGCTGCCAGGAGCCTGCTCCATTATATGGGCTCACCACAGGGTCACAGCCTCCTTCAGACATCCACCTGCTCCAGTGTGCGGTCCTCCCCGGGCTGCAGATGGGCATCTGCTCCACCATTAACCTCTGTGGGCTGCAGGGGCACCGCTGCCTCACCATGGGCTGCCCATGGGCTGCAGGGGAATCTCTGCTCTGGCACCTAGAGCACCTCTAACCCCTCCTTCTTCACTGACCTTGGTGTCTGCAGAGTTGTTTTTCTCACTCCTCTCTCCAGCTGCAATTGCTGTTGCACAGGTATCCCCCCGCTCCCCTCTTCTTAAATACGTTATCACAGAGGCGCTGTCACTGATGGCCTTGGCCAGCGGTGGGTCTGTGTTGCAGCCGGCTGGCACTGGCTCTACTAGACACAGGGGAAGCTTCTAGCAGCTTCTCACAGAAGCCACCCTGTATCCCCCTGCTACCAAAACCTTTCCATGCAAACCCAGTACAGCAGGAATAATCAAATTAGGTGATGGATGATTCCAGCAGGGAGCTAAAATCGGTTGTTCACAAGCATCAGTTACGTAGCAGCAAAGGGAAGTTATATAAATATTTCCTTCATTTAAAGAACTGGCTGCTACCATTGAGACCTACTGGATGGTGTCAGAGACCATAAAGCAGATAAACAATGACAGCACAGTGTTTCAGAGTAGTTGCTCATATAAATCCACTTAATTTTTTAAATAGAAAAAAGGTCAGACTATTTTAAGGTCAGATTATTTTAATCTGATACTTTTCTTCCAAATACCCAGAAGGCATTCAGCTTTTTTTGGTGTTACTTTTAATTTATTTTCTTCTGGATATAATTTAAACTTTCATAGCATTGTTGTTAGAATTTTGTATGATCAATTTTAAATGTTTAGTGAAATGGCGAACTAATAAGAGGAGGATTGCTTTTGTAGAGAAGGGTTAAGCAGTCCTCCTTTGAATAGAATCTCCATGGGATCACAATTGGTTGTATGATATTTAGAAATGTCCTTCTGTGAATGTGTCTCCAGACAGGTGCTTTTGAGCATTAATACGACATTACTCTAAGATATAATGTGTGTAACACAAGTGTAGTATTTCAAAAGTATATTTGGTCTGTTTCTAATTCAGAATATTTTATACGCTGTACAGTTGGATGTGCTGTTTTAAAATGCGACACTTTCAATACTGGAAGAATGATTGATCTCTGATAGTGTTCATGCTGATGTGTGCTATGAAGTCTAGCATAGCAAGTATAAAAGTAATGAATTCCATACTTTGGTTAGCATAAACTTAAACATCACCATTTTCAACGTAATATGAATGAAACTATAGTCATATTTTAAAAGAAAATTTGTTATTGTATAAATAAAACTGCCATGACTGGCTTTCATAAAAATGTAAAATTGTCTCTAAATATTGTAGGAAAAAAAAAGAAGAACATTCAGAACCATGATTCTCTATTTGAAACAGCTTTTTCATTACCATGCAAAGGAATATGTCGGTTAACAAGGTGCATAAATGTTTTGATCAAGTACTAGTTTTAATCAAGTTACTTCTGTTTCAATGTCAATGATTTGCAGTACCAGTTGTAAAGCAGACTTGGGAAAGAGAAGCTGCCCTTATTGAATACTACAGTGACTATGCAGACACCTCCATTCCTACTATAGATTTAGGCATACCTAATACTGACAGAGGTGAGCTATTGACTGTTGTCAGTTTTGCACAAATAGCTGTCTAATAAGGATGGTAAATTTTATGCATTATATGTGTATTTCATGTATAATATTTTAGCTGGAAGTAGCTTCAAATATAGTATCCTATCCTTATTTTTTAATGATTGTTTAGTAATTATAGTATTTACATTGTGTAATATTGATAGCAATAATTGCACTAGATAGTCACCTGTAATCTAGATGAGTAAAGACTGTTTGCAATTAGATTTTGCCAAGATCTAAAGAAGATTCAGTAGAAATCTGAAACTCGTTTCTCTTGTCATGCTCATGGGGAACAAGGTTATTTCACTTCTCAACTCCTAGTAAAGGGTGTTAAGACATGAAAAATGTTAAGACATTTCCCTGTAGGAAGTTATCAGGACCTGAGTTGCCATTGATGAGTACAGTAGATTAATGTAGACTTAAATATTTATATAAAAAAAGTGGACCTGTCTGATGCATCATGAAATGCTATGAAATATCTTGAAGCATTTTGCAGAACATGTTCCTATCATATTCTCCTCATTTTACAGTTTTTGAAATTTAAGAGTAGCAGTTTGCCCAGTATTGTCTGACAGCTTAACATGTTAGCTGGAATAAAGCTTATTTTTCAGGTTTCCATAATTCAAAGAATTTCCATACTTCAGCATCCTTCAAAAGTACATTCCTGCATAGAAAGAAATAGTTGTGTTGGAACAATGTATACAAATACCATTCAGCACAACAAAGGATGTAATTTAAACTTGCATCTCAATTTTTCCAGTCATTTTTAAAATGTTTTGCGTAGTGCAGTAAAATATTTATTTAATTAATAATTGTGTATTACAAAATTTCATTTTATTTAAATGTATATTCTATTATTTCTCTTCCTTTAGGTCACTGTGGGAAAACTTTTGCCATTTTAGAAAGGTTTTCAAATCATAGCTCTCCCGGAACTCCTTGGTTAGTTATAGTGGATGATGACACACTAATAAGGTATACATTGCAATACTTCAAGAATTACCACTGTTCATGTCAGTAGGAGTTCTAGCAATATTCATCTCTTCTTCTGTATTGAAGAGATAGAGCTGTTTTATTAATTATGTAGCTTTGTATTCCTTTAAGGAAAAAAATTGTCACTTTCCTTCAGTGTTCCTTGACTGATATTAAAACCCACATAATCTTGTAACTCGATAAAGACTATGCATATTGGTGTTATGTAATCATGTAGTCTGAATATGATTCTTTAGTGTAGGTATGTCTGAGCCGATTGGTTTTCGTCATTTGTTAATATGCCTTCTCAGGTGTATTCCTCACACAAATGTGTCAAAAAAGGTTCCATAAGATAGGGTCAGTAGTCGGAGCCACCCAAAACAGTGTCCACGGAATTGCCTTTGCTAGAAAATAGATCTCATTCACATGAAAACTGACACTGCTGTATAAGCCAAATAAGGCACGGTGATAACCAGCAGGATGGCATGATCATGAACATAAGAATAAGTGGTTCAGGAAAATACTTTACATTAAATCATGTGACAGGAGAAGAATTTGAAAGAGACTATAACTATAGATAAAGCAATATTTGTATAACTAAATCTACCTTTTTGTTTTTCAATTCCTGTTGAGAAAAGATCATCTGCAAAGATATTACCATTGTTTGGAAAAAATAATTTCATTTTTTTTCTGAGATGAGACTCAGTTTTGCTGAGAAACTTTATCTGCTTCAGGAAGGTATTTTAAGCTAACTGATTTGTTATTTGACCAAATTCAGCAGTTATATCTCATAGCAAATAACCCATCACAAATTTCTGTTTAACCGTTTGTATCTCTGTGGGTTTCTTAGCATTTCTGAATTTCTTCTGTAGTTTTTGTGCTATTTAATAGAATGTAATTTAGGCTAGCAATATCTGTTTCAAAATGAATGTCTACATGATTATTTTTTTTAATGAATTTTCATATTATAGTATCTTCAGACTCCGAAAATTGCTCAGCTGCTATGACCCAAATGAACCAGTATTTCTTGGAGAGCGTTATGGTTATGGCTTGGGAACAGGAGGATATAGTTATATCACTGGCGGAGGAGGGTAATTTATTTAAACTCTACTTCAGTCTTTGCTTTGAGTGCAAATGAAACACAAATCAGTTTCAGTGGAAACATTGATGTTTCTTAGTATGATTAAAATGTAATGATGCTCAAAGACACAAATGTCCTACAAGTAAGAAGTTGTTCTGCCCACTGGGAACAGATTTCTAGAGCAAAACATTTGGTGCTGAGGACCATGTGTGTTTCAGAAGGGGTCATTTCAGCTTGATTGGTCCAGTGAATTAAGTGCCTGTTACCAGTTTTTTACACCACGAGTTCTCCTGACACACATCATGCAGCCCTGTTTTATCTGATAGAATTCATTCTGCATACTCAGAGACCATCTGACAATGTGATTTGAAGTGCAGTAAGCAGAAAAAATTGGTATAATTGCTTAAAAAACACCCTTATGATCTGAACTGTTGTGGAGTTTGCAGGAGAACCAAAGCAGCATATCTGGGGATACAAACTGCCACAATGAAAATTTTCATTCCTGTTCTCTTTCATCTTCCAAGCATGGAGAAGAATGATGATGATGATTCTCCTTCTGTTTTTGAACTTCATGCATTGATTTATGGGGAGGTGGCTGAGGAAGGAGTTTGATGTTGATATCCTGGAAAATAGTTTCCTATAGAAAGCAATCATTGTGGGTTGATCTCCTGCATGAGACACATGGGTCCAGTGATTGTATGCAAAATTTAGTGTAAATTAGTATGTATATGAACTTTCAGGCTGGATCATATTGCAGTAAGAACGATCTTAAGATCTGTCTACCTTGTGTGTCTAAAGCAAGTACTGTGGATGGCTGAAAATCCTTCGTGTCTTTCTCTGTGAAAAGTAATGGCTATACCAACTTCCTAGATACTTATGCATCCATGAGGAAGCAGAAATCAATTGTCTGGCCTCCTCATTGTTTTGCATAGTTGCATAAGGTCTTACTTAAGTAGGGTTTATGCTTGAGTTGCGAAATAAACCTTCTACTGGTGCTGGTGTGTTTGTTGGTTACCAGTCCTATACTTATATATCCTTTTTGCATTTATCTCTTAGTTTCTATTCTGTCATCTAGATGTGGAAATTTGGGAGTTATTTTCATTCTTAGGTTTGAGCAGATAGAGGTACAGATCATCCATCTTACTCCATACCCTAATTTTGAGAGGGTTCATTGTAAGTGAAGAATTCTATATAACTGAAGGGACATGGTCCAGATAATCAACTAGCAAGTACATTCCCCAAATGTGTGCAATTTACATCACACCTTCTGTGTAGCAACACATGCTGGTCACAAGTTCCAACTCTTTTTTTTTTTTTTTTCCCCCCATGCCTTTAGCTTCTTATTCCTTCTCTTGTTTGATCTGAGTACTGAGATACAACTTCCTGTTGTGCTCTCGTTTTTGTGGGGGTTTTTTTGTTTTCATGATACATGCAGTCTTCAAAGTTGCAATGATAGTGATGGAGTCTTTTGCAACTTCAATCTGACAATATTCTCAGTCAGTCTTTTTGCCTTAGCATTCAGTATTTGTAGTTTTGCCATGTCACAGTGTCAAGCAAAGGATTGTTACATAGTGAATAAACTCATGAAGCCATGTAGTGATTTCAGAGCATGAATCTTTCTAGCCTAACTTGTAGCAGCTAGAGTACCCTGTATTCTGATTGTACTGGATGGATGATGTAACTTCATAAAAGGCAGCCATGGAATACTAGACAAGAGTATATTCCATCAGCTGTTGAATTTAAGACATCATCATGTTTCTGGTCTATTGAAGGCTTATTTTAGTGATAATGATCTAACAGCTCCAGGCTCTGGTTGATACTTAGATGATCAAGACAATTAGGATGAATAGAGGAGCAATAGCTTCAGGGAACATTTTTTACTTCTGGAGAGAACTCTGTATAACAGAGGATTCAAGGAATGACAGTTCAGATTTAGAGTTCTTTTCATTTAATTGCTACATGATAACTAACTGGACAATACATTTGAGGAAGATAGAGAAGAATATCCCTTTAAAAGTCCTGGCCAAATTTAGGAAGATTTATCAGCTGCAGTAAAAATGGTGGATATGTAGTTAATTGTTGGAATAACAACAATTGGCATAATTGGTATAATTAATTTTCATTATATAAAGTATTTCAGAAAATGCCTCTTGCACTACTTGACAGTACTGAGTCCTCGAATTTTGAAATTTCAGATATGTTGTACCAGAGGGCTATATTTTGTCTTGCAGTTTTATATCATTTAACAATACATTTTTAGCAGTATTTAATTACAGTCATTTGACTTTGCTAGTAGTTATTGTCTTATATGTTTCATTTGCTTTTTTTTTTTATTCAGGATGGTCTTCAGCAGAATAGCTGTTCAGAAACTACTTGCTAGTAAATGCCGGTGTTACAGCATGGATGCGCCTGATGATATGGTCCTGGGGATGTGTTTCAGTGGCTTAGGAATCCCTATAACACATAGTCCACTTTTTCATCAGGTCAGAGAATTATTTTTACTAGTATTTAAAATATATTTAATTCTTTTAAGTATACACATAAAACAGGACTCATAAATATTGCAAACTTGATCAATGTGTAGTAATGATAACCAGGGTGGTGCTGCTATACCTTATTTCTCTCCAGAACAAGTCTGATGGAGCAAAAATCCCACACCACAATACTTTTTTTCATCAGGTAATGGAGAAGTGACTGACATTTTTCAGTAAATTTGTATTCTCCACTTACCCAATTTTTCTGTTGATTCAGTGTTTACTATGCTGAAATATCACATTAGTGAAGATATAAAATGTAAAAGTATTCCCAGCACTGTTGCTTTTGCGGTGGATTCTGAAGAATGGTATAAATATGATAAATTGCCCTATGCTAACACAAGGGAAAAAGAGGTCACAAAACACAATTGTCTTGCGAGTATATTCTCCTGTTTGAGAGGAATGGTTTGGAATAGATTTGAATCTTGTTTCTGTCTTCCAGAATATTTAACAATCTTAATTGTAGTGTCACAGTGGAAAGCACAGTGCATTGAGTCCCAGAGAGAGATTTGCTGCCTTCTAAACCAAATAAAGATTTTACCTTCCTCCCGATAGAGAAGAAGAACTTATGATTTTTCCCAAACAGTGCACAACTTTTTTTAAAAACAGCATTAAAATCAGTGTAGCGTTTGGTGTTTTTCAGGTGTTAATCCAGTTTAAAAACTGGAAAGACGTGTGTATCTTGAATATGAACTGAAGTTAAGATAATGGGCTACTTAACATTAGTAAACTGTTATGTGATTCAAAGCAGCTGTCAGTGGGGGGTATAAGTTTGCTGTTTAAATTATCAGGCTTTCTTGTATTAAGATTCTCTTTCTGATTAGATTTACTATTCAGAGAAATGGGAAGACTGAGTACATACTATTCAGTATTTTAATTCCTTTTTCATATGAGAAAATCATCTCTGTTTACTTTCCTGATTTGTTTATCATCGGTCACTCCTTTCAGTATAGAAAGAAAGCAAGTAATGCATCTTCTAAAATCAACAGTAACTGAATAATTTGAGCTTGCACGGGTGTTTTTAAAAAAAAATCAGCATCTAATTAAAGGAGGGTCAGAAAGAACAGAGCTCTTTCTACAGATTGTAGGAATGGCCCTTTTACAACAAAGCAAAGCACCCCCTTGTAATCTTTAATGGTGGTGCATTTGATACTGAATCACTTTGAACATAAAATCCTAGCAGTTTGATTTTCCACATAGAAAATTACACTTGAATTGTAATTTATCTTTCAGTGTTGCTTATAACAAATTCTGGTTTGACATACCTTGAATAAAAATTAAGCCTGGGTGGAAAACTACTGAATAAAAGTTGAATGTGCTTATTTTATGAATTCCACTATTATGCAACAAATATTTTAAAAATGAGAAAACCAAAATTGGATTTTCTGTGAACCAGAAAATTATTTTTTAAAGACTTGACTGAAGTATTATGATGTACAATGTTCCTTGAAGTACACAAATCCAAAATTGTACTCAGTATGTATTATTAAACAAAAGCAAAGATATCTTCATCCTTAGAATGTCTATGATGTTACAGTGTCTGCTCACTCCTACTGGTTTCCTGTTTGCTACATGCTCAGGTAAATACGTATTCTGTAACCGGTTCCAGAGGCTTTTGATATGATGAAACTCTTAAAGAGAACACGAACCTTCCCATGTTGAATAGCAGCCAGAATTGGGGTCTTAAAATATAAAATCTGGTCAACATACTTGGCTTTTGTAGAATACCAAATACAAATTCTACCATTAAAAAAAAATAGCAAAGATTACAATATTTGATTCCACAGAATGTAAGGAAGAGGAAATTCAGGGAACTTACATCTCAAGGTCAAACACCTATAAAGTGGCATGATTCTTAGAGAATAATATAATAAAAAAGATAGTTATTAGAGCAGATCTCATTCTTTTAGAACTATCGGAACACCAAAATTTTGTCTATAGCTCGATAAAAACCTGATTGATTTTCAAACAGCAGAAAACTTTGGTCTCAGATATCTAGAAACTGTCTCTGTCCAAAGTAAATTATTCAGGTTTTTCAAATCTAAATGTTCATTGAAGTTTTTTCAAAAGTCTTGAGGGAAATAGGCTCCCTCTTGTTTCCTCCAGTGGAATTTTTTAAAAATAAGCACTCTGTGGTTTAAATGTCAAAATAAAAATACCCAACAGCAACACATATTCACATTTCTTAGTGTCAAATTCTGTTGCCTAATTTTATGACTGGAGTGTATAAGGACCTGTGTGAAGAACACAGCATGTGGAAGTCATTAATACCACCATAAGTAGGTGAAGCATGCAGTATTAAATCAGTTACTAGCTTAGGCATCAAATCAGTGATTCAGTATCCAAATCACTCAATTTTCTTCTTATGTTTTACATCTAGAAAAAAACAAATGTGTGCCTTTCATGAATTTCTCTTTACAAAAACTATTTACAATAGCAAAATCTAGTTATTTTACCAGGGACCACTGCAGCTCAGGCTTTTTTATACAACGATGCACTTAAATGCCATTAAACTGTCAGAGGAAATGAAACATGCTTGGTGCACTAAGAAGTCAGCTGCATCATGTAGCTGTGTTGTTTTTCTGTCTCTTTTGATATAACCTGATAAAGAATAACAGTGCAGTTTTCCAGCACCACAGTATTTCCTGTGTTTGTTAACCTTTCTCCATGAAAAAACTTCGTATACTTCAGCAACTTATGGCCTTACTAGGATCCTACAGTCACATTGGCAGTGCTGGCAACTCTCATTAAGAGGAGGAGCAAGAGAATATTACTTGAAATAATTTTGTCATTATTGAACCAAAACTGTACATTTAAAAAGATGCAATACAAACGATACTGTTTGTGACTTGCTTTCATAGATGGTGACCATTTCATCCTGAGAAGACAGGGCATATGTAATATCAGTGTACTTCATAGCATGGTGACTGCAGTGTGAGTTGAAGATCTAAACTGAATGCTTATCAATAGATTTAACACAATGATGTAAAAACCCCTTTGTTATCTTCTTGTATATTTTGTCAATGCCACATTGCTTTTGTTGTGATACAGAGACCATTGAACGGTGATACTTTCTTGTTCTAAAATTATTCTTTGTCACTGAGTACTAGTGCTTTTACTTTATTCTTCCACCTTAGGCAAGGCCAATGGACTACCCAAAAGGCTACCTTTCTCACCAAATTCCAGTATCTTTCCACAAACATTGGAATATTGATCCAGTGAAGGTATATTTCACATGGCTGGCACCAAACACTGAAGAGTCACTTAATGGAAAGAAATTTGAGTATAGCAGAGAGGATTTATAAGCAGTAGAAGAATGTAAGTGTCAATGTACTGCAGATGAGAGTCACTACTGTGATTTTTGCGGTGTTCTCACTTTGTTTCATCTCTTCGTGACATAGAAGAAAATGTTTTGTTCCTGTTTGTTGCATTCCTTCAGAGCAATGGAAGAAGGCACCTAAATTGACTTTTGGATTCTTCTTTTGCACTTGTTTTCGTTTCAAACTGTTTTTGGGATTTATATACCAATGACCTTGACACTCATTTAAAATGTCTCATACAACTTCACCTGTCTTCTGGTTTGGACTTTGAGTCAGACAACATCAATTTACATTTCCTTCCTTTGTTCTCTCAAAAGCTGAAGTGTATTTGGGAGCCTGATATTGAACATGTTTTGAACATCCATTGAACGTCATCTCCCACTGACCTACAGAAAATGGTTCTCTAAACTGTTCTGGAATGGGTTCTTAATAAATCAGAGGGGAGACATGACACTATTTCTGTGACCAGGAGCTAGACTGTGTGAAGGCCATGTTCCTTTCCAAGTATAAATATTATAGTTTCCTGGGATAGATGGACCAAGCTTGAACCATTGTTGTACCTTTTAAGTTTGTGAAGAATGTCATGTTCAAAATTGAAAAAAAGGTTAAGGACGAGGATTCCTTAAGTGGCCGCAGGAGGTCACTGTGGCTCCTTTAGAAACGTAAGTCACTGTGTATCTTTTTGGCAAGTATAAATGTGACTCAAGGATTTTTGCAGAACTAACACTTCAGTATTTCTGATGTGTGCATTTCAATAGTATATGGGTGTCAGCTTTATAAAGTTTGTAGTGTTCCTAATTTATATCATCAAGGTAAGTAATTTTATGCATACAACATGTAAAGAGTGATTCATATTTAAAAAGTTGATTTTTTTTTCTTTGAGTAATTCAGTTTGTAAAAATGTTTGTACAAAAACTGGCTTTAGTATGTTTGAAACTAATTTTTATATTGTAAAACTGCTCCTTTTAAGATGACACTATATGACACTTGTATGCTGTTATTTAACTTTGCTTGCTATATTGTAACCAAATACAGGGTCTTACAGTCATACTGCTGAGGTAAATTGTGATTTGTTTTGTTTCAGTGGGTTAAAAATTGATTCCATTCCAAAGTAATGCAATACTTGCTCTTAAGTCAAAACAGGGGAGCCACTGATTCGTGCTTCAGTAATTACTGAAGTTGTATAAAATTTCTTTTTGAATGTAGCTTGTGGAATTTTAAGCATTTGAATAGCAAGCACATATCCATAATAGATTCAAATTCTGATTCAATAGGAGCAATCCATGTTATGTCTTTTTTTCTTTTTTCTTCCCACTATCAGTGCCTTAAACAGTAGACATTTTACTGATGCCAAGATTATGTTCTCCAGTACCATAGGTGAATTGTTAATTATGTTTACTATTTAGAAATGTGAGAGCTGAAAGCTGAATAAAAGTATTCTTCTTTAACCTTTTCTGCCTTCTTCCTCTTTGCAAACCAAGTACAGGATTATTTAAGCACCTATGTCAGAATATTATCACCTGAATAGTATTCTATCGTCAGTTGTACTAAAGGGCAGCTTAAACTTTTTTTTCATATTCTGTCCTGACATGCTTCACCAGATTAAGTTAATTTTCAAGTCTCTGGTTTTGTGCAAATGAAAAATGCTTTTGCAATAGACACCTCATGTGATTTGGAATCTTGATGCTATCAAAAAATATAATTATCAAATTCTCCAAAGGTCTTGCAGCATAGTCCTGTCACTTTCAACTTCAAACTGCTGGTATCTTACATCTCCTTGAGCCCTGGGAAGGCAGGATAGGTCAGGCAAAGACAATTAGCTTTGGATCCATGCTGTGTTGCACTTGTAGACTTCTGACTTATTTAGAGATTAGGAGCCATCCCATCAATTCATTAATTTCTCACTTACTCGGACTTTTACTTCTGGTCTGATAAATGTAATAGTAGCTGTCTTCAAGTCCGTCTTTTCTCTTGCCATTAGCTCTGGGTTTCACTGCAAGGATTCTGGACATATTAGTAAGTGTTAGACTTCTGATCCCAACCTTCATAGTTTTGAAAGCAGTGAAGCAGTAATTTACTGAAGTCTTCTGGCCCCAAAACTCTGACATTGAGATGTAACTAATGATATGCAACCCTAGCAGCAGCATAACCAAAGTAACCTTTTATTCTATGAACTAAAAAATTAAAGATTTTTTTTTTTATGCAGAGGATCCCAGAGAGTTTCTAAAAACAAGATGTGAAGCCTTCTGTATTAAATTTAGTTTTAGAAGATTCAGCAAGGCTGCTACTATCTGAAACCTAAAACCAAAATTGCACGTTAATGAGCCTGAACCATACTAATGTTTCTAAGGAATATCAAAGGGGTTATAAATGGTGTAATGTTGAAGAAAAGCAAGAAAAGGGGAATTCACAACTCACTTCTATAACGGGCAGATTAAAACAGGAATGCATGGTTGACTGCTTGAAGTTACCTTTTCTGGAACATTTGAGAATTGTGTGAAAGATAAAATCTGGGAATCATTATTGACTGTTCGGTTTTAATGTTTATAACAGAAAATTATGATGTATTAAGATATTTATTTAATTAAATTCTCTTGATAATTTGGTTGCTTGGTTAATCTGCTTTCAGGAGCCAAAAAAATAATGCCTTCAATATAGCAGCATATGTAAATGATGAGTGCTGAAGAATTTGAATCCTATATTTTATCACAAGTGAGAATGAGGACTGTGAATCTGGTTTTATTAACCTACATCTGCAGATAGCCCAGGTGTGGAGACTCTCAAAAGGAACTGATCTTTGTCTCTTCCTCTGTGAGCAGGAAAATGGGCAAGAGTCTGAGGCAGCTTGCCAGCTGGGTAACTTTCTTTTTTGTGGAGGAAAACTTTGCCCTAACATCAGCTCTAATGACTGCTGACTGGAGGAACGAGTCCGAATGACTTTATTTGTTAGTTCCTTAATTTCACATGGTTTAGGATTTTTGTTAGGATTCTTGTTAGAATATGTCTCAGCCAGAGGCTCAAGGCACCATTCCGTTAGAATTCTGGAAAGTAAGGTTAACATTGGGTAAAGACTAACATAAGAGGCTACTGTGCTGTGCCTCCAAAGCCAGTAATGCCATTTCATTATGTGGAAAAGTAGCAAGAGGTTTACTTTTAACAGCACCATAAAACTCTGAAGGCTTTTGTTCATTGGACTTCATGATAATGAATATATTTGAGTTTGCTTTAATTAAATTGTTTCTGTTTATTGTTGATACAAAACTAAAGGAGACATTTACAATAATGAGCAAAATGCTCCCTGATGATGCCACCTCATCATACATTTACTGAGGAAACTAAGAGCACTTGAATTGCTGCCGTTAATGGTACCTGGTGCAGCTCTGGCTTTCAAGTCCGAGGTTACAGCAGCATGGTTGCTCCCACCTCCCTACTACCCAGGTGCACACACCTGCCTTGTCAGTATAGAACAAATTCACCTCCCCAGTCACCCTGAGGATGATATCCTTAAGTAATCATTTCATTCAGAAAAAAATAGATGCAATATTACTTTGCAGGTAGTTCATTTTTCTGTTTCCTTTTGTTGCATGTTATGTGCATGTATAAAAACTGGCTTTGTTAATACACAGTCTTATAGTGGTAGCCATCATGTAGCTTACTACTTGATTATTTAAATTGTGTCCCAAGAAGAAAATTTCTCAGGCTTTTCAAATTGCAGTTTGTGATTTACAGGAAGATACCTGTGGACCCAGTGACCTGTGGGACTAGAGGAAGCAGAGAGGTGAACTGTCTGTTTGCATCTAGTTGCTTTTGCTAATTCCCTTGACTCATCTGTGTTTATTTGTGCCCCTGTTAGTCAGGAAGCAGCAGTGCCTCCACTGAAATCAGCAGAATCTCATGAGATTAACTAGGACCTGCATTTGGATGGCAGGAATTGAAACAGCTTTGGTAAGAGTGTCTGTATACTGGTTAGTTCCAAACACTAGGGGAAAATACATGATAGAAACAATGTATTTAAACATTAAAAGCTTAGTATACAATATGCAAATGCATACAGAGGCCAAAAGGATTCACAGTCAAAGAAAGGAAGAACTGTTTTGGAAATCAGGCTATGGAGAGGAGTGATAGGAAATTACGTCAACACAGTAGCATGAAACATTCTTTATGAAAAATCTATAGGCATTCTGCTTTTGCAAGCTAAAAAAAAAAAAAAGCTAAGCTATTCCTGTAAGAGTCTAGCTCTTAAACAGAATGACTCCAGAACACTAAAATGCCGTAGGTTGTTAATACTTTATAGATGACTTACCACAAAAAAAAAAAAAAAAAAAAAAATAATAAAAGGCTAGTAAAGAAAATTTTCTGCTGGGAAAATTATTGTGTATCGTCAACTATTGTGTGCCCACTTCTCTTGTATGTGTTTCAAACAGGAAGGAACCTTGTAGGAACATCTGCTGCTCATTGATGTTATGGGACAAAGTGTTAAGTTGCCTTCTCTTCCTGTGAAAGCAGTAATGGACTGGTCTGTATGTTTTGTACTCAGATTAACTCAAAATCACTTAAATAATTGAAAGAAAAGATGCAGAAATAAAGCAGCACCAACCATAGCCAATGTTTCAACTCAAGTTCTCAGCCATCCTTGCCATTTACTCTTGAAATTCTTTTTGAATTGTAGCAGTTGTGGACCATGGTCAAAGACAAAGGGGATGGGCTGTGTGAGCTTTGGAGGAGGCATTGGGCATCCAGATGAAGGCCTAATCAGCCTGTTTATAGTGAGGTCCATCAAGATCCTCATAGCAGGAACTCATGTGTTAGCTCTAGTCATACTGACCAGGCAAGCACTGCATTCCATCTTTACAGGGGTGCTGCATGATATGTCTGGCACCTGCTCCCCAAAAGTCTGGGAGAAGGGCAAGAAATACAGTACGTATCCCTCAGGAAGGAGGGAAACATTGTACGACTGAAGACCTTGTGAGTTGCTTGATTATCTTAAGTAGAGCTCTCACTGGTCCTGCTTCAGTAAGTTAACTGTTGCCTAGCTAGCAAGGTGTAGTGGCAGTGATACAGAATGTAACACTAAGTAAACACGGGAAATAATAGCCCATGTCAGGTCAAACTCAGTTACAGCTCAGGAGGCATTAGCTCTGTGCTTATTAAGGACAGTTGATCACAAGTTGCTGATGGGAGGTGTTGGCCAATTCACCAGCCTTTTTTTCCAAAAACTTCATAAGACTACTCATTTCACTGTCGTTCTTTTTGCAAGCTGCCTTTACTTGCATTTGGAAACAAATATGGCTCTGTTCATCAGGGATATGTGCTTGAGGTAGCCCTTCACATGGTGCAGATCAGGAGCTCTGCTTCAGGCACGCTGCTTTGATTCAGCCCGTGCTGTGGTCACATGGACTCATTCTGCCCACTCACGTAGCTCTGCTGAGAAGGTCTTGTCCCACAAACCAAGTGAATCATTTGTTCTTTCTCTTTCCATTATGGTTTGTTCAGGCTAGAATTTTCCTGTTGAAGGGCTGCATGTTAACCAGAATGCTTCTGATCTTACAAATGCTAGTTCTGGAATGACTTTACACTTAATAAACAGCAAAATACATTTGTTAAAAAATGTGGATAATCATCCCATAATTATCAGGTTATTATCTTGTGAGGAACTCTGTCAAGTGCAGTTTGAATGTCTGAAAAAGATTAAAAGACCTATCAGAATAAGGCATGATTTTGCTTTACAAGGCCTGACTTACCTCTATCATGGCTTGTTGTTAGTTCACCTAAGTGGTGTAATTAACACTTCAACAAATGCTTGCTTTAGAAGCCTGTAATTGTCCTGCCAGTCTTTCAAAAACTAATAAAATATTTGTTGCCTTTCTGGTATCATTGCAGGTGATTATAATGAATGTTTTCATGACCTTTGTTAGCAATTTGGCCACTTCATTCTTACCTGGTTTCTTGAATGAATATCCTGGAAGGTTGGATGGGTTACAGTGAACAGGTAGAGATGGTAGAAATGCAGAAAGGAAAGACATACTGAAGTTAAGCTGTAAAAACGTACCAGCTTTTCTGTCCACACGTTAGTACATGCAGCCATATGCTCATAGATTTAGATACAGATCTCCACTTTTGAGTCAGTCTTGGCAAATCGTTCTGGGAAGTTTCTATCATACTCATCACTGCTAGGGCAAAAGGATTGTGGATTTACCTTAACAATGGACAAGTTCATGCTGCAATACATTGCTTTGGTTCATGTGCAGAAATTTGCAATTGTTCTCCAGCCTCTGCAGAAATGGGGACTTTGAGTGGATGAGTTAGCTCCCACCTTTATGTCCACCTGCCCACAGGCAAGATCCCAAAATAGCTGAAATCACAGGCAGTTTTAAACAACACAGCTAATGCGGCTTGTGGCTCCGTGGGCAAACATAATAAAAGTGCTGCTCCTCTTGGAAAGCTCTATTCAAGCACCACACTTCTCCATGCGCTGACAAAGGCAAGATTGTGCTGCAGAAGAGTCCAACTGCGAGACTGAATAGATCCCAAGAAGCGAAAACATGGTCTGGCTCATTGCATTGTCATTGCCTGTATCACATGTGAAGACATACTGAATGGAAACATTAAAAGCAGTGAGATGTGTCAGATTCTCATGGCCCCTGGAGTTGTTTGCTTGTCAATGCTGATTTAAGTAGAAAATATCTTCCTTTCAGATTAAAAAGTAACATATTCCAGAACTTGCTTGGGTTTATTTCTAAAGGTAGTGAGAAACAATTAAAAGGGTGATAAATGTCTGTAAAAATATGGAGCAGTTTTTGTTCAGTGAAAGACTAAATAGGCTAGAAGTATCCATTTTGAAAAGGCATGAGTGGAGCAGAAGTCCATCTGATTAATGGTATGGGACAGGTGAACAGGGAGTGGGTTTTTACTCTCATAACCAGGGCAGAGAGGTACACAACAAACTTGTCAGGATATTTTCAATACGGGCAAGGGCGTTTCCGTAGCACTAAACTGAACTGCAGAACCTGACAGCACAGGCTGGGCAGAGGCTGGAAAGCGCAAAAGGGCTTCAAAATGGATTCTACAAAATCACAGCAGAAAGGTTCATAGATGATTAGTAAACACAATGGATTTCAACGTCTTCAAGGTAAGACTCCGAATTACTGCTACCTGGCACTGGGCAGGTACACTGGGCTAAATGGATCTTTGCCCCGACTCAGTATGACTCTTCCTGTGTAATGCTGGTACGCACACAGTTCAGTTCAAAGCAAAAGCTTGGGGTTTACTTACAGGTAGTGCTTCAGTTCCTGTGCCTATAGATTATCAGAGTATCCTGTGGTTGTACAAATCCAGAGCCACCTCAGAGATAATGGATCAAAATAGAGTCTGTCAAACCTCTGCTTTCCTCTGCCATGACAGTATTGGAGGACTCTAGACAAGAAAATGGTTCTCAAGGCTTGGATGATGGGCCACGCATGCATGCAAACTTAAGTGCTGGTTCACCACAACGTATGGGCCAAGAAACA